CGACCTACATACACAAAACAAAGTAGGATACTATCCCACGAAACAGTAGATAGTCTCCTTGACCGAATCCTACCACAGAAAGTAACGCCACTGGTTGAATTAGCATCTGATCTCGACCTACATACACAAAACAAAGTAGGATACTATCCCACGAAACAGTAGATAGTCTCCTTGACCGAATCCTACCACAGAAAGTAACGCCACTGGTTGAATTAGCATCTGATCTCGACCTACATACACAAAACAAAGTAGGATACTATCCCACGAAACAGTAGATAGTCTCCTTGACCGAATCCTACTACAGAAAGTAACGCCACTGGTTGAATTAGCATCTGATCTCGACCTAATTTGTCACGTTCTTTATTAGAACTTTAAAAACAATTACATTTTGCAAATATCAAATACGTGCTCTGGCGTAGTGAGGTATGTGGTATCCGGATATCACAATCTGAGTTCTCTGACTATAGAAAAATACTAATTATCGCTTTTACTGTATTTTGTCCCCCGGTGAGACAGCGGTAAGTTTACAGACTTACAACGCTAAAATCCCACGTTCGATTCTCTATGGTGAACACAACAGATAGTCCAGTGTGGCTTTGTTCTATAACAAACAACAATTCCACTGTATTTGTGTTTTAAATGTAAAATGTTGGATATTTTCAACCAAATGTTTTTTGTTTTTTGTATGTATAATCATTTAAGTTATTTTTACAAGTTACTAACGAAATTAGCGCTAGAAACCGGGTTTCGATATTCGTGGTGGGTAGAGCACGGATAGCCCATTGTGTAGCTTTGTGTTTAACTTCAAACAAACAAAATAAAAGATATACGTTGATGGCGTAGAAAAGAGGTTTAGGATGTGGTAAGTGAGAGAAAGGGCCGGACAATTGTTTAAAACGGCCCCCACACACAAGTAATTACACATTGCGGAAATAAATGGATCTTCACAACGAGTGTAGCTGAGTGAGACTTAAAATGAATGGTAACACTATTATTATTTAACACAAGTTATCTCATCAGTCTTAGTAAAATAAATAAACAAATGGCCTCAACCTAATAGTACATGCATGTATGTATGTATAACAATCATGTTTTAAACGGGCCTAA